TTTTAAAGCTCCATATTTTGTGTTGATCCATAAGAAGATATATTTGTCATAGAAACTTAAATGCCTTTTAGAAATACGACTTGTCGATTTTGCACATGCAAAACCACCAGTGTAGACCTTTAAAGATAAAGAATAATAGAATCAGGGAAGGGAAAAACCTTTGGTGTATTTATTTAACAGAGAGAGAAAGGCGTGAGACAGGAGGTGATAAAGTGATCGATCCTTGTGGAGCAGGAGGAGAAAAGTTACCTGCATTTTGTCTTTCTCAGCTGTGTTGTTTGTCCTTCACTTACTTTATAGTTTTTAATTTTCATCTGTTTGTTGTGTTTTCGTTGCCACTCCGTCCTCATCCAATCACAGTTGTGGACATAAAATTGCAGCTTTGTTATAACGTGTGCATAATGACAAGCTTGGTCACCACTAACATCAGTGCAAAGTGAACGTGCTGTGAGCGAATGAGAGATGCATGACTTGCTCTGTCTGATGGCGAACGTTGCATTTTGGTCCACTTCCCCTCTCTTCTTCCTTCTCCTTGATTTTTCTCTTTCTTTTGTGGATGTAATGAACGTAACTGTGTCTGTTCTTCTTTTTCATTTGTAACTTGAATGAAACAAAAAAAAGGGGGACAAGCAGGTTCATTCTATGTGCATGTGCTTTCCCCCTAGACTCTGGCTGCCCTAACGAGAAATTCGATAAATCTGCTTCCAAACCATCTCGCACAAGCTTTGCATGTCCACTCTGGTCCTGAGGAAATTAACAAGCGAATAGAGAGCGCCATCGACTTACGGAGTGGCGATAAGTTGAGAAGAGAGCATATCAAGCCTTTCTCACTGATGTTTAAAGACTCCAGCCTGGAAGAGAAGGTAGCTGGGGTTTTAGACAGATAACTGTTTTTTTTCTTTCTCTCTCCCTCCTCATATTTATTCCTAGATGAAGATTTTCAGAAGCAAAACAATGAGCAACATTATTTTTTTTTCCTTTCATGAGTAAGCTAAAGGCAAATGAAATACTTCTGTGATATCACAGAGACAAAAAAATTTATTTTTTATTTTACTGTATTTACATGAGTCAGTGAGGGATGCTGTGAAATTTATCGGAAAATAATGAAATAAAATATACATAAACTGTTCCAAGTTATTTTCATAATTATTATTATTTTTTGCTCAGTGCTTTTCTTTATTTTATCTTCCAGAGTACAGAGTCGCAAGTGTGCCACCAGAATAATTATGGACTTCAATTTTAAATTATTTTCAATTAATAAAGTCATATTATTAAGTATTATAAATTGAATTTGCATTTAGATGATTCACAAATACTAAAAAATAAATACATTTGCCAATGAATAATTCTGTTTTCTCTTCCTTTTTTAAATGATTGAAATAATTACATTTTACAGTGTAAATTGAAAATAAATTTTTAAAGGCTTTGACATCTTGTTTTGCTGTAGTGTCAGCCATTCATATTCCATCTTGCAGCTCATTTTTCTTGCTTTCACAATAGAGTTCCAATTTTATAACATTTTGCAATTTGCAATATTCAAAGTCTTAATTAAAGTCACAATTGATTTTGCGATTCCAGTTTTAAATTAAATCATTAATTCCTCATCTAATAAATGAATGAAATCATTAATATTGCAAATGTATTTTATTTGTTTATATTTATTTATTAATGCAACATTCACACCAGCATTATCTTAATCAGTTTTAGTAGATCCAGGTTTTTCAGGATCCACTTTTTCAGAGCTTAAAGCTGCATTTTGTGTTCTTCAGCAGGACATTATCCACTTTATGAGGTGCAGTTGAAATTTCTGCAAGTGAATCAAGTCAAACTACCAATCCTAAGATCAAGTGTAATTTAATTAAAAGTCATTTATTAATTGGCGATAATAAAAAGGTGGAACACTTCAGACTTTATGAACATACTAATGTTCATAAATAAACATGGTGACCCAAATCTTACTCTTTGCAACATTAACACATGTAATATCAATGCTCACACAATAAATCAACTTCACCATGACTCATGTGAGATTCTGAAATAATAAAAAAAAAAAGAGCTTTGATTTTTGCTTCATCGAGCACAGAATGGCCAGCTGGGTGAATCATTGATGTTTGGCAATGCTGATTTGCAGAACCCCCTTCAGTTTACTCATGACCAAAGGTCCGTGCCATGGACCGGTTACCCTTTTACATTTTGATGGAAAAAGTTGACTTGTTCAACTTGTTTTTTTTCTTCCTCTTTTTACGGGAGCGCATTGCATTCACTCTACAAAAAAAAAAAAAAAAAATCCAGTTGCTTTATCAGAATTGCAGCTTCCATATCCTATAATTATGACTTTACATTTCATATTTTTAACTCGATTACTACGAGTCCAGACTAGACTACCACAGTCGGAAAACAAAACAAGAAAAGCACATTCAAGGCTATAGGCTGTAGGTATAAGACATAGAATACAGTAAAGGAAACTGAGTCTAGAAGCTAAACTATGACTTCATTTTCTAACTCTAAATGTGCTCTTTAGAGAACTGGATATTTATTGTAAAATTACGACAAAAGATCAACATGATTAAAGTCGTTATTATTATTTGATAAGGCGGGTTTATGAAGACATCCTCCTGAATTAATCCCTCAAAAATCAGATGTAGGGTCAGTCAATACAAACTCATCCTGTGTTGCCAAATATTGTTAAAATCCACAGAACTTTATTTTATTCATTTTATACCAAATATATCAGGCTGAATTTTGGGGAAATGTGTCTAAAATTTTATGCAAGACTACAAGAATATTTACATTGAATTGAATGGAAGAACAATAAAAAACATGGAGTCTTTGAGTCTTGGATTTTAATATTTCACTCAGTGAGCTTCAAGGCAGGGTGGAAGTTGTTTTTTTTAATTCATTATTATTGTTATTACATATATATTATTATAAATAATTCAATTAATTATTAATAATAATAATCATTAAAAGGGTTGATTTGCTGTCTGTCCTGTTTTGTTTGAGGCTTTGACACATACATGTACATAAACACTATAAATAATTTTATTTACAGTTGCAGTGTTCAGTCTAACCAGCCAGCCAGAAAGTTAACTTGGACAAGTTGTTTCCATAGCAACACATTCCAATGAAACAGCCGATAGCACTGTTTTGACTGAGTACTTAATGTAATTCTCTCATAATTTTGAGATGTTATAATCATGAGATATGGAAATCTTTATTATAAGAAAATGTTCTTTTACTTTGGTGAATGTGACGCACTTCTGGAGCTTTTTGTCCAACTTTTCCCCATGTTTTTTTTTTTTTGTTTGTTTGTTTTTTGTTCTTTGAGTGAGCCCATCTTTGACCTTTGAGTTGACCTCCATATTGGCCCGTTTCCTCCTCCACGTTTGTGTTTCCCTTTGAATCCCACTGCCATTTTCCAAACTTTTCCAACATTTTTTTTATAATTTTTTGGTTGACCTCTTAACCTCTTCAGTAAATGTGCAGTGATTTGCTGTTGGCCTCCCTCATTTTTTTTCTGCCAAAGTTGTGACGAAACGTGAAGCATCCTCTTGCTAATTTCCCAGCACCCTTTGAGAAAGAGACAGAGCGAGGACTGGGGCAGCGGGGGTCACGGGGGTGGGGTTGGAGAGTTTACTACTGAGACGAGTCTGGCTGTCGGTCCAGACTGATGAATCATCTAGTCTAGAGTCTTACATCAGCACGGGGCTTCCTTCAGGAAATGCTTATGCTCACGTTGTCAAGCACCAGACACTTCCCTCCTCTTATGTCGATAAACCCCCGTGAAATCATGAAAATAAAAACTGATCACTTTTCAGCAGAAGTGAAGGAAATATTCAGTTTAATTCAGAAAAAACTGCTTTTTAACTCAAATTTAAGTAAAGCTTACAATGCGTACATGTTCACTTTATATGAAAAGTTATTCTATTTCATTTTTATTTTAGAGTGCATTTTTAAAGGGATAGTTCAATATTTTGAAAAATACATAATTAAATTCAAATCAATATGTGGAAACTGCTTTTTATACGCTGTAACACGTCAACCAGGCTCGTCATTTTGTAATCTTATCAGTAAGTAAATACAATAAAGAATAATTACATTTCTGCTTGAGTAGTTGTAAACAAATTAGATATAACCTGTTATTAGTGAGCTTTAGATAAATAAAATTTTAATAAAATGAATGAAAATATAAATCAATACTACAAAAGTAAGATTAGTAATACCAAGTCCTGCAATCCAATTAGCCTGAAGTAAAAGTGATTTATAAGTTGGTATTAAAAAAAAACAATTACAAAACATTTTGCATCTCTTTGTATATTTCATGAAGGATAACAGCATTTTCTCTAAAGTTTACATTATGGAGATGATACATGATACCTAACAATGCCCATGTTTATCTCATTTTTAAGTTAAAATCTCAGCCGTCAGATAAATGTTTGTGAGGCTATGAAATACAGTGAGGGAACAGTGGGAAGTCTTCTAAAAGTATCTAAAAACCACATTTAAACAGTAAATAATTATTAACCGCCATTGATTTGCAAGCGTTTTACTTTTGTGTTTGAGTTGTAAGCGTTGATAATTCAGAGTCAATAAAACCTTTGAAATAAAAAACAAAGTTCATTAACAGATTTCAAATCTAGTTTCAATTCAGTTCAAATGTCTGGCCCCTCAGTTCAGCTCATTTTGAGAGAAGCGCTCTCAGTTTGTGTCTCTGACTCGGCTAATCACTAATAGCCAACGGCTAACAGCTAGCGTTGTGCTTGTCAGCTTCGCACCTTCCCCAGGACCCCGCGGCTAACCCACCGGCTCCTGTCTCTCTCTAACGCTTGTGTCTGACCCGTCGCATGCATCTGTGGCAGTGCACTGGTGTGTTTGAGGAGGGTTCAGTGTCTTCAGTTTCTCTGTTCGTCTGAAAACTTGTTTCTCCATCTTCCTCCCCCTCTCACCTCCTCTTTCTCCCTCTCGTCTTCTTCTTCTTCTTCTTCCTTTTCACGGTGCAGTACTCCCAGATGAGGGACGAGGTGTTCAAGTCCAACCTGGTGTGCGCCTTCATCGTGCTCATCTTCATCACGACCATCCAAAGCCTGCTTCCCTCTGCCAGGTAAAAACAACAGTCTGTCAACATGGTGGCGAGTTCTGAGGTTCACTTCTGTCCTGCTCAGCAACACCTAAGGAGTTTCCTTCATAAGTCTTTCTAAAATACCAAAACAAATCAACAGCAGTATGAGTGTTTTCTGTCTTAGCTACAGAAGTGCTGGCTAAGGCTCCTAAGAATATTGCATGTTCTTCGCTCAAGTTTGACCACTGGAGTGTTTTGTAGTCCAGAGCTGTGTGCCAGTTCAGGCGCTGCATACTGTGGAGGATGTGTCTTTGTAGCCGTGCTGAAATGAGACAGTCTGTGCCTACGGAGGATTTTCGCTTTGCGTCACCAGCTGTACCCACCCTTACTGTTGTGTCGCAAAGCATGGCTTCTGTCGCCTAGCAACCTTGACCACAAATATATTTTTTTTAACAAAAACTTGAGGTTTTAAGGTGCTTGGTTGTTCCAAGGAGCTGAAACACGATACTTACGTTTAAAAGTGTAATCCTCAGGCTCTTTGTTTGCTTTCATTACCGGTGCGCAGTGAATAGGGTTGGGTCATGAGGAATCCACCTGTCGGAGCCCTCACTGCCCAGGAAAAGAACCATGCATTTCTCTGCCGCATGTCCAGGAGTCTGGTGTTGAATGCTAACAAATTAGCCATTTTATTTCTTTGTTAAATGACAAGATGTTTGAATGGTATTGCTGAAGAAAACATGTTTCAGTCTGATGAAAGAAACTCTCTGTGAGATGTAATTGCAGGATCGATATTTTGTTAAGAAACACTATTCTCTCAATTATGGGATATCAATCAAGAGATGATGGCATCTTTTCCTTGTCATTTTGAGACACAGATCTGATCATTTTCAGATCAAAATTTGTCACAAGTCAGAGACAGAAGTCATAATTATGAGATAAAGTCTGCAGGTTTTTTTTTCTGTAGTGAATTCAAAGGTTTAATGTGTTTAATGTGAAAGTCCAGTCTTAAAATGTTGTATGTCAACCCACAGCTGTTATATTATTGTTATTATCATTATTAGTATTATTATTATTTTGCTATTTATCATGTCTCTGAAGGATGGTTACCATGGTGATCCAGTTCTCCGTCCTCATCGTCCTCCACTCCTGCCTGGTCCTAGTTACTACAGCGGAGGACTACAAGTGTCTGCCTCTGGTCCTGCGAAAAGCCTGCTGCTGGATCAACGAGACCTACGCTGCACGGAACGTCATCATCTTCGTCTCAATCCTCATCAACTTTCTGGCGGCCATGATCAATATAGTGAGTTCAGTTTCCAGTGTCAGATTATTATTTGTTATTCATGAATATTTATGGAGTCTGTGTGTCCTATTCTTATCTTAATCTTGGTGTCTAAACTTAATCTTGGAAATAAAACTTTAATTGAGATAGAAAAGGGTAGTAAGAGTTTCAACAGGATTTCTTGACTGTTTTCAACAAATATCATTAAAAGATGAAGTTAGACCACCTCTCAATGCGTTTTGACTTCTGTGACACAAAGACCCAAGTCAGTCAGTTCCTACTGAAGCTTTAAAAACAGCTCACAAATGTTAACTTTGATTAAAAGAAGGCTCAGTAATTCAAACAGTTTTTTTTTTTTATCAAACACACACAAGAAAATTGTGGATTTCTTGGGGACTATTTTCAGTGGCGGATTAGTCCACGTTTGTTTCTCTACAGAGTACTTGCAGCAGCAGGACGGTGTGTGTGTGAATCGGAGTGAAAATAAACTAGAGTGTGTGTGTTCATGGTAATGAAGGAACATGCCACCCAGTGCAACAGAAACAATGGAGCTCTGTGGCTCAGAGGAATAAGATATATCAGACTGTAGATAAACACACACACACACACACACACACACACACACTGCAGTTCCTGGTCTTTTCATGGGATTTACTGACATTAAGAAAAACATTGAATATCACCAGATTTATCCTTTAAGACTAGTGGTGAAACAGTGACCGATTTCATGCAAAACATTCAAATTAAATCCTTAAATCTCACCAACACACACAGGCCTTCAAATCGTATAAAAATCGAATGCACAATAAGACATCGGATTTAATGTAAGATCTTCATGTCAGTCAATTAAACCTTTCAAATTAAACTAATGAACTCCTACATATAGTATAGTAATAATAGTGATAGTGATAATGATAGTTATCCTCTGTATCCTTAAGCATTTATTGATTTATAGAATATGACATTTATCTTATTTCTTTTTTAATGAAACTGATGAAAACTAGTGAAACCAAAGAAACAAAATATCTTATTCATGTAAATTATGTTATGTAACTTATGTGCTCTTGTATCATTTCAGCTCAGCTTCATGTCGCACTTTTCCCTTACTCTTTGTTTTCTTCAGCATTTTTTTAAATCTAACAGCTGAAGCATGAAGCTGAACTCTGTTGATTCTGTTGCTCACCTTCATTTGTTTGTATCAAACAAACCCCAAATTTCCTTGCATCAGGTCCTGTGTGACAGGAAGAAGCTTCTCTCAGAAACTGGACACCAGCTCCTGTAAAGGATGAGCTGTTTATCGATATGAACGTGTTGCGGTTTATTTCTCGGAGAGGTCAGAAACTAGCAGCTTCTCGCAGAGAGCTGAACCTCGTCCTGTTTACTCACAGATCAAATGTTAGTTTCTGACACGAGCATCTTGAAAGATTAAAGGCTTGATGAAAAAATGTATGAGAAGGGATTCGGGGTATTTTTTATACTAATCCTGCATCGGTTTAATACTGTACAATAACAATAATCCCTCCGCTGTTGGTCTCCTCTCACAGCTGTGGTGCGACTTTGACAAGTCCAGCACCTTCAGGAACCAGACGTACAACGAGTCAGCCTCCATCCCAGACATCTGCTTCTACCCAGAGGTACCCACTAAATGAGGTGTCTGAATCTTGCAGTCACTTCCATCTGTTGTGTTTTTTTTTTTTTTTTTTCTTTTTTACTTCTGCGACGGCGGCGAGATGATGAATTAAACATCTCCAACATCTGCTTGCACCCAGAGGGAGCTCTCACCTGACAGCGGCGACTGATGGAGCTGTCTGAATGTCACAGAGAAAATATCTGTTATGTTATTTTGCTCACACAATATGCAGCAATTGATGGAGCTGATAAGGGGGCGACATTTTTTATCGCTCCAAGCCGGGGTCGAGTCACATATCGCTGCATATATATATATATCACTAACTTATTCAGTCCCCAGCATCAAGAAAGCTTGCCTGTGCAAGTCAGATGGTTTTAGATACATGAAGAAGAGTTATTGACTTTTTTTTTTTTTATTTTTAGCCATAGTGGGATATTAGATCAGACACAAGTTCAAAAATGTTGCTGCCAAATCAGCCTGTGAAACCAGCTGATGGATGGAAGGAGCTGATGATGTCATAGTGATGTCATCACATTTATCTCAGTTTTGGGTTGGAGACAAATTAATAACAGAAAGCCTCTGTCACAAACTGGGGGTCTAGAGTTTTAAAGCTGCCAGGCAAGGAGACAATATGACATTGAGTTGCATTATGGGAAATGAAGTGTTTTCGACTCATACTCATAAATTCAAGATCTAGCTGCTTCAATTTTTACCACTCTGTTCTTGAAGCTCCATATCTTCCTCTTCTCCTGAGTTTTATTTGAAGTGTTGATCCCTAAGAAGATGTATTGGTTTTAAGAACCAAAAACCATCTCAATGTAGTTTTACATCTCCTCTCTCAGGCTTCTCTCTGGAGCTCTAGTAACAACAGGTCAGTGAGCCTCTGGCTCTGCCTCTGGCTGAGGCACATGGCTGAGATCGGTGACTGCTTTGTTGTGACATCACAAAGTTCCAGAAGTCCTGACGGCTGGTTTTAAGGCTCAGTTTCTGAATACAGGCTGTGTGCATTTCTCTGTGGACTGAGGCTTTGATACTTTCACAGTATTAATATAGAACCTAGACCTGATCTATAATCAAACAACACATGGACATCTACCTTTATACAATATGGGACCTTTAAATATACCTATTTTCTGGTTCTCTAAGGCAGTGCTTCTCAAACTTTTTCAGATCGAGGTCAGCTAAACTGACACAGATTAGACCTCAGACCCCCATGTGATAAAAGTTCTGCTCTTAGATGTTTTATTGCAGAACCTCTTGACCAAAAAGTCACACATGCTGTCGTTGTGTTAGTTATGGATGGGATTTTAGTGAAAATAAATAATCCCCCTTTTTGCTGGGGACCCCCAGGAACCCCCTCAAGGACCATTTTGAGAACCACTGCTCTATCATTATTGGAATGTAATCCTGAATGGAGTATTGCTTTCAGAATTGTACATAGGAAGGCTACACACTCTAAATACTAATAGCACGCTAACAGCTATCTTAGTTTAGCATGTTTGCATGCTATCATTTGCTAACTGACACTAAAGAGAAGGTACAGCTGAGACTGATGGCAGTGTCATTAGTTTTGCAGGTATTTAGTCATAAAGTAAATTATTAGACAAAGTGACCTGGATACAATATAATTTATATAATATAAAAGTTGTGTATAAAAGGGTGGAAGTAAAGCATGGACCTGATGACCTAAGAAAGCCACATCTTTCTTTCTGTTCCTGCAGTATTTTGTGTTTACGGGGGTCCTGGCGATGGTGACGTGCGCGGTTTTCCTGCGGCTGAACTCGGTGTTGAAGTTGGCGGTGCTGCTGGTGATGATCGCCATCTACTCGCTGCTGACCGAGGCTTTCTATACTTCGCTGTTTGTCCGTTACGACACCGTCCACCACAACACAGAGTGAGTGTTTTTGAATGACGTGTTCAGCCAGTGTGATGTTCAGTGTCTCAAGAATAAAACATGACTGAAACTTGATATGTACCACACAGTTTCTCCTTGTACAGGAAATGATTCGCTTAGATTTTAGAGCATTTACTGCCTAATTCTTAATTAAGCACATGCGTTGAAGTAAAGATAGGTGCTTTAATGTATCTTCATGTCTCTGTCTGTTTCCTCACCCTTTCCTCCTTAAAACACACCAGGGAGCCACATTGACCTTTTTTTTCTCTAAATGTTGCAAATGTGAGAAAACTCATCTCACAGGCGTTGGCGGTCATCATACAATGACCTTTACAGTGACAATGTACGAAGGCATCCTGAGGGTCTACCAATTATACACTGGTTTAGGAAAAAAAAGCACTATAAAGCTTTCAAGCAGAGGTTTCCATACAGTATGAGCTTCATAGGGAACGTTTCTTTAAAGCCTTATGGGAAATGACAGTAAAGGACCTCAGGTGAAAACTGACATGGCTGACATACCTTTTAAAATGGAAAAAACAAATCTATAATGGAAACACTTTGCAACACAAATACTCTATATATATCAGCGAATCAGCAGCTCTTTTTGTTTTTTTGCCCCATTTCCTTCTTCATTTTCCATCTCCAGAGGCTTTTTATGAGCTGTACTATAAATATTGCAGGAGGACCTTGTTTTCAAAACTTCAAACATCATTGTCTTCATGACAAATGTTGGTGCTTTAGGGGACTTACAAATTCAGACAGGTCAACATGTATTAGATCATGCGTCCTTGTTTGTTAAACTCTAAGGAAAATTAAAAGCATGGAAACAAAGTAATAAGTTTAACTTCAGATTGTGATGCACCCGTCTTCTTGTTCCAACAGAAACTTCCTGGGAACTAAAGAGACGTCGTTGCTCCTGATGGCCATGTTCCTCCTCGCAGTGTTTTACCACGGCCAGCAGGTGAGACCAGTCTCATAATCAGTGGAAGAAGACTGAAGAAGAGATTAACATAAAGCTCTCCCCATCATATTCTCCTCCAGAAAGAAAGACTTTTATAAATAGTCCAAAAAATTATAGATTATAGATAACATGAATACGTGGGATGAAAAATGGTGAACCTTTCCATTACATGGTAGTAACAGAGAGGACCAGAATGTAGTGGGCCTGAAGAACGTTGCATCATTCTTGTTGCTATGCAGCCGTCTAATTAGTGTTAGCAGCAAACCTGAAGTAATAATAACAAGAGAAGAAGAAAAACAGAAAAGAGACAGACAGCTGTAGTCATAATAGTGTTCAAACAAGATGATGAGGAGTTTTAAAAGATTATATCACTCACTGGAAAATATGCATCATCAGTGTGTTGTTGACACATTTCACCCCAAAACATGATAACTACATTTCTTTTTGTCTTTCTCTATCATACATAAATATAGTCATAAATAATAACGATATAAACAAAAGTCATCGCCTAAACAGTCGAGTAACCCAGTGGAGCCAGTGGCAACATTGCAATGAAATGACTGAGATGGAACCAATAAGCTGCCATGACTCCTCCTGCCCCTGTTTTTAATTCACATGTAGAAATCAGAGATGTAGACTTTAGACTTGAGACTTGAGACTCGTCTGCAGTGACAGTCAAATCTTGAGAGTAAATGTGTTGATACCAAGCAGCAAAAAATGTGCCAAAACCTGCAGTTCCTCTAATGGCCACTAGAGTCTGGCTCCAACAGTGGCAGAAATAAACATGTTTACAGCCTGGTACAAAAACAGTTTTGGTCTCTAGAGCTAATTTCCTTCCTTCGTTAATTCGCTTACAGTTGTGTATAATTGAGGGCGTGGCCTCTTTGAGTGACAGGTGGGTGAGCGTATGCTTGCTACAAACTGGCATCATGCACTGAAGTCTCAGCTCCACACCCGCCCCTCCTCTTTGCCTGTTTTTTTTTTTTGATTATCTAGGAGTTAGGGGTGTAGTCAGGCACTGCCAAGATGGCGTCAGTGGAGCAGCTCACTCGGAGCTTCAAAACTGCTCTTCAGAAACCTGTGGGTGACGTCACGGAGGCTACATCCATCTTTATTTACAGTCAATGCATCTGAACTACTTTCGACTGAAGAAATTGTCCCGCTTATTAAACAGAGAAATCATGGAAATGTTTCTTAATATCATTGACTACCTCAAATTAAATCCCAGCCACCTCAATTTTACTGGAGCTGGAGGTGAAACTCTCAGAAACATGATGCTTAACATATGTAAACTGTGACAAAGCAGTACAAGTAGACAGGGTCACAGACCGAAAATATTGAGAAGCAACACTTTGATACCCATCGGCAGCATCACATTAATATGTTTCATTGCTGTATAACATCTAACCTAAATGGTACTCATATAAACAAACGTGTCTCCCTTCACACATCTGATACAAAATACAAGCCGTTTTAATAAACATGCAGTCAGAGTCGGCAGCCTGGAGGGAGCTGGTATCACCATGTCGCTTTCATACTTTTCTCTATGGCAACCTTTGATCGTGCTGTTCGGCGGCTTGGCGACGGCCAGAGATGGAGGAGAGAAGGTCGTAATTGAGGGTCCTTTGTAGCCCCCATGAAAGTATAGAGCAGCCGCATTTGAAGTCACCCAGTGGCATATTGATTTTCCCCGGGTCAATTCTGCCACTTGTTTGGAAAAGCAGAGACAATGGCAGCTCGCAGCGTGAGGTGTGTAAGTGTTGCCGCTCTGAGAGGCTGTTTGTGAGAGCTGCATCAGGCTGAGAGAAAAGAGCGCATATGAAAGAGACTGTTTCCTCTTAACAGGGACGTCCGCGGTGCCAAATGCAATCCAGCTTTCTCTTTAGTGGAGCGTTAATTGTTCGATGTGCCAGGTTCAAACACATTGTGAGCTCTGTAATTGGCTCTGTCCTTTCTGCAAAATAACCTAAATGAATTTTGGGTAAAATTGGTTCTGTGTGAGAAAAAGTACTCTTGACTCTCTTAGTGGTCAGACTCACAGCAGGTGTTATCTTCCAGCTCTGTCTCCTGTAAATTATATTCAGCTTATCTACAATGTTTTTGAGGAAAATTCTTTTCCACCCACATTGAGTTTTTTCATGTTGAATCTTAATTCTTTCACAGTTTTTAGGTGAGTGTAGTGAGAGTTTTTATGCTGCTGCTGGAGTTACATCGATTTCAATCATTCCCTTTATTTCTTATGTGTTTTCTTTATATTGTGCTTTGCTAAATGTGACACAGCTTCTGAGTGCTGAACTAGTGTTTTCTTGAAAGGGCTGTTTGTAAAACTTACATGCTTAGCATGCTAACTTCATTGGTGTTGCTTTCCACCGCTGGAGTAAAGGACTGAAGTTTGTTGCTGAACTCTGAACCTCATGGAGCTGCTACAGCTCCAAACTCTTGAGAAACATTTACCAAATCTCTGGCCAAAAGTATGTGGACATCTTTTTAATGGTGGGTTCAGCAGTCTCATTGCTAATTGCCATATAATATATTGACTCACACGGTAATAACACCTCACATTTTCACAGAGGACAGCAGAGATCCAACAGAAACACGTAGAGATGAAGGAAAACAGGTAATACATCACCAAGCTAAACACTGAGATAATAAAGCAGCTTCATCATTTCACTCTCTGCACCGAATGATCAGGCCTTTTCAGTCCTTTGTGGCTGAAAACTCACAGCGCTGTCAGCCGTTGTTGAGAAAACACAGCGGGTGTAAAAACATTAGTTAGAGCTTCTTTCAGTGGAGACGTTTAGGTGATTTTTTTTGTCATGTTGTGCAGAAGAGCCTATTAGAGCAGAAAGATGGAGGACACTCTCTCGCTGCTTTATTCTTCTTCACAGCCTCTTTCATTATAAGAACCTCACTCTCATTCAGCGCTCGTTAAATGTGAGTGTTTTGTATGATGTCTCCACAATGTGTTATGTATGATGTGTTCACAATAACACACATTTTCCATTGACATTATGCCAAAGCAAGCACAAGCACACATCACTTATTGTGTGAGCAGATGACTGATGATTACAGAATTGTGTTCTCGTGCATTTAAGTATAAACGATACAAATTAATGTATTGAATTAAGCAGGTTTCATGTGTTTTCTGCTGCGTGAGGCTGATTTTTGCGTCTCCAGAAGCAGCAGCTGAAACTATGCCAGAGACCGTTTACATAATAAACTAATGGCAACAGAGGCCACAAGCCAGTTGAGGTTGTTCTTCACTAGCGCTGCTTCCTGTCAGAGCAGTAATTACATTATAAAGCACAGCCAGCATGAAGCGTTTCATTACAGGGGCTGCTGACAAGGCTCTTATTTTCAAATGACTTTCTTTTCTCTGAAATCATTTTAAGACCAGCAGGTTAATCAGAGATGTTAATGGCACCAGTCGTATACCAAGAAATCAAATACTTTAATTAAGGAAATTAAGGTCGTCATATACCTAAACAACAAAATAGGTAATTATGTGTGGTCCGTAAGAACCCAGAGGTTTGTTGTGGTTTGTGTTTATGCAGCTAAAACTAGTTTTTGACAGTTGGTTTGACAACAGTCTGTGATGTCAGAGTCAGAAACTTCTAGCATCCTTGCCAAGAGGTTAGTGTCCCAATTCAGGGGCCGCATGGGGCTGCATTTGCAGACCAATTGCGTTACAGTGGCGTGACCAGGCTGCCCCAATTCAAAGGCTCCTTCAAATAGAGCCGAGAAATGCGGCCTTCTTTTCCTGGGCACCCGCTGGATCCCTCATGGCCCAACGTATCCCAAGATTAATTTCCAGTACTGAAAGCAAACAACACCGACAGAGAGCCTGAGGATTACATTTTGAAATGTAAGTGTTGAACGGCTAACGTTCTCCGTAGACCAGACCGTCTCATTTCAGTTCAGCCTTCGTGGTCTACGACGGCTACGAAGGGCCACGCCTTCATAAACCGCGTCGTCTGAAGGATGCGGCCCCTGAATTGGGACACAGCTGTTTTGTGCTGATAAAACAACAAATAACTTCACTCCACTTCCCCCTTTACTTCTGAAAAATGACAGTGATAATTGATGTTAGACCTTTCTAGCTTTGTTTTGGTCTTTAATTTACTTACTTTAATTTGAAAGGTCTTTAATGATAAAAACTGAAAATAGAATTGTGTTCAAACGCATTTACTATGACTGACCGGTACACAGTCTCAAATAATGATCTTAATATTATTTAAGCACTTTTCTTACTAATTAAGTCACAAAGTGTTGTGGATCTTCACAGGTAAGTTGACAGGTTACAGCTGATCTCATAAACAGTCTCTAAGTATCTTTGTCTCTAAAATACATTTCAAATGTAAACTGTAAATGTCCAATGGCCTGACTTCAGCTGTCCGCTAAATGTAGTCAGTGATGAAGTATATTTACACAATTTCAAGGTACTTGTGTACTTTACAGCATACACATACATTTATATGGCAGATATAGTAACTAGTTACTTTTCATATTAAGACTTTGTACCTATCTTACAAAATCCATAAACCACTTTGGTTTCTGACTCCTCTGGATGTCTCTTTCATAAAAGGCTTAAGGTTGAACTTCCATCCTTAGGTAAGATTTTGAATGCAGGGCTTTTATTTTGTAATGGAGTATTTGTACATTGGTGTAGTTTCCCTCTTAAATGTGGTGAAGGAAAAGCAGAAAGTCTTTGTACGAGTATAAACAGTTTCAGACTTTAGTTTTTGCTAAACTCTGTGTGTGTGTGTGTGATATCCTCATGTGTTTGAATGCTGGCTGGGTAACAGCCTGTCAGATCACAACATATGACTGTGCAGTTGGACATTATTCTGCAGCAAACCTAATAACACTGTGCGAGCTGGCAGCAGCTGAGTAAAGTGTTTATTAACACTGAGGACCGGAGCTTTTTTTTTCCCTCTGCTTCTCTGCGGGTTAATAGAAGCCATTTTGAACGAACATGTCACCCAGCTCTGCACAGCGGAGGTCAGGTTAGTTAACGACTGAGCGACCTCCGTTATTTCATCGGCCGGCGTCTCATTATCCCACCGCCAAATCGGCGCTGCAGGCAGTGCATTCTTAATTAGAGAAAACAGAAAATGAGATTGAAGTTATATTACTCACTCGTGTGATTAAGGGACTAATTGATACCACAATTAATCACAAAACTGTTTCCGTCGATTGACAGAGAGAGACGCTTGACTTTTCATCCCCTCCTCCCTTCAAAAAGCACAAACTAAATGCTGCTGCTTTTGTTTGGCTCTGATGTGCTCAAATGACTTTGTGTTAATTGTGCATCAAGAAAAGCAATTTGTGTTGCCTATTAGAATCCTTTTTGCTGCACTTCAGATTGATCACACTCTCTTGTGTTTCATAATTGATCCAACCTTTAACACATTTTTTTAATTTAGCCGTTCATTCTTGAGCCCTGGCTTGGCCTTTCCATCATTTAAATGATAAAAACAACAAACTTTCTCCTCATTTTTCTAAAGCAATTAAGCAATTAACAAAGTCTTGGACCTGTCTGGAAAATCTGAAGAAGGGTTAGTCTGAATTTTTGAGAAGTTGAACGAAATGTTTGGAAAAAATGGAAAATAATTCTGAATTGTCAACTGGACAACATTCAATTAAAATAAACACATTCAAAATATTCAAAATTAACATGCAAATAAATGCATCGTGTCTTTTCTTGTGCGTTTCCTTTGTCCTCAGCTGGAGTACACAGCCCGACTGGACTTCCTGTGGCGCGTACAGGCCAAAGAGGAGATCAACGAGATGAAGGAGCTGAGAGAACACAACGAGAACATGCTGAGGAACATCCTGCCCAGCCATGTGGCCCGCCACTTCCTGGAGAAGGACCGGGACAACGAGGTATGTGCAAACTTGATTTTTGTTGGTATGTTTGTGGAACTAATCCAAAACTCGATAGTCGGTTGATGAGCCACTTGAAATCCAAAAAAACAATCAAACTCACCATCATCTTTTCATAGGTTACACTGTTTGATTTTCGGCTTTCAGGAGCTCATTCTCAAAATCTGAAATGTCAGAACCTCCAACAAACATGTGAACACATCAGAAGGGGGGTGTTGTTTAATGTGTCTCCATCAGCATTAAACACACAGTTAGTAACTTCTGTCTCTAGGGGTCTCTCAATCAAAACAATAACAAAAGACGGCGTTGGGTGACGTCGTGAAATAGCGTGGGATCAGGAGGTTTTTACCAGCAGCTGAATTATCCACAGTGGTGTCCTCCTCTCCATAACAAATTACATTAAAAATCTGAGATTCACTGACGCTCTTCAGTGACACAGGACAGGACGTCACTTCAGATCCAGACGTCCGACGACTAAAATCCTTCATCTGGTTCAAATATAGAGCTGAAAACCACCAAGGTGGAAAAAGTGTATCTGGCTTAAAACTAGATAGAAGTCAATGTTGCGCTTCTGTCAGACAAACACACTGACACATGATCATAGAGGATATGATGTCATTGAAAGGCGACCAATGAAACGTACTGTTACCATGAGTAAAATCACAGATTCCTCTGGTTTGAGAATTGATGGAAACATTTGGGATAGTGTAAGAACACAACTCAGCAACATGTAGAACACAGGTCTAGATGGTTTTAGACATTTAATGTGGAAAAGTTACAGATTAGAACTTTAATGTGACGATAACTTTACTTTGAGAAAGAAAAAGAAAAGAAAAAGAAAAAAGAAAAAGTGATGGATGATCCATCTCAGACTAATTTGAGTGTCGAAGTTCATTTTCAAACCCACATAAATCCACTTAGATGGGTCTTTAAGGCAGGAAGTGAATCTATTCCAGTTGATTACAAGTTCGGTCTTATTTTTTGTAGCTTTGTGATGTCGCTGAAAAAAGTCATGAAAATCTAAACCACTGTAATTAGAGGTCAAACTGAAAGTGAATGGACCTGAAGTAAACTGATAATAACACCTAACTGCACAGGGGAGAGCCGTGTTAGCACAACTACAGTAAGTCAGCTGGTCAAAGTTGAAGCTGGTCTGTAAACTATGATGGATGTTCAACAACAACTGTTTGGATAAAATATATGAAAGTAAGAGCCGGGTTCAGGCCTCCTTTGACTCTCAGTCTGTCAGTGCTCCACCTCATTCTGCGCTGAAGAACCTGTTCCTGTCCCCTGTGATCGTCACAGTGTGCTCCCTGAGCTTGTGTTCCAGTCGGCGAAGGAAAGAAAAGACTGTGTAACTGCTTTTCAAACAATTGCATAAAGAGAGAGAGAACTGGTGGGGCGGTTCATTCAGCCAGAAACCTTTGTAGAGCTTTTTTTTTTTGGTTGCATGCATTTGATTTGATTTTAATAACATGTTGTCAGTCAGAGGCAGAGAACACATTGATTTGTCTCCCCGTCGGTGCAGCAGTGACTCAGCTGCCTCGACTCTCCAGAGAGTCAAACTTTACAGAGTTTCTCTTTTTGTTCACCTTATCTCTTCTGCCCTTTTTCCTTTTGTGCTTTTAATTTCCAGTGAATAGAGCTGCTCTGCACTCATTAAAAGACTAAAATGGGAACTCATACATTAACGCACAAAACTAATGGGCCTTCTGTAGGGCTGGTGCAGGTTTGTGCATGTTTCAACCCGGTTCACTGTACATTAAATTACCTTTACATCGCTGCTAACTCCTCGAATGCATTGTTTTGATGGTCCAGTGGATCTCTGCCATGGAAACCCATGGTCTTGTGCTGAAGTTGCTTCCTGCAGTAGTCCGGTGCTTCTGAACATTGCAGCTGAGGACAATTGATTTTTGGATTATCGCTTTGCAGCTGAGCTGTTGTTGCTCCTAAACATTTCCACTTAACTCTCTGGAGTCAGCTCTTGGTGAGTAAAGGAATTAAGTTTGTTGCTGAACTCACAACATTTAGTTATAGACCGGTAAGTAAACAGCCGTTAATGCTAACATTGGCTATGTAGCAATAGCAAAAACTTACAAATAGCTCCTTTAATTGGGTCTGCATGGCTGTTTACTTGATTTGATATAGCTGGTAGTGTAGCTGAGACAGCTGAATCCACCAATAAAGAGGTGTCCACATACTTTTGGATTTGGTAAATGAGTTTAGAGCCAAAGCAGCTCTGTAAAGCTGTACTCAGGCTCAATGTTAACATGTTGATGTTTAACAGGTGTGTTTACCATGTTCACTATATCTCAGTGTAACATTTGCTAATTAGTACAAAACAAAGTACAGTACAGACAAAATAAAATTGACCTCACAAAAGACAGTGAAGTTCCCAAACTCATCAGGCTTCATCCTCTGTGAAGCATGAATGTCTGTACTGACGGCTGCGTCAGTCCATGTGGTAGATGTTGAGATTCTTGAGTTTGGACCAAAGTAGCAGATCGACTAACAATAAAAGATCATAGCTTTTAATGAGATTTAGAAGATTGATAAACCTTAAAAGTGGGAAAACTTCCTCATCAAAGTCTGTCTGATAACTTCACTGTTACTCAGTAATGAGCTGCCAGCAATTACGATAAAAGATGAGATGACTTTGGGATGGATCTATTTAAATATCCATCACCAGGGTTTGATATCAGTGAAGTACAAAGAAAAAGTGAAATATTTTATCTTTAAGGAAAACAAACATGACAGAAAAACTTTCTTCAGCCGTTCGTTCTGCTGCGTTCTTCATTTACCAACTGGATAATGACTGACTGTAGCGGAGAGGACAGTTATCACAAGACGGAGTCAAATCGCCATATTGTCCTCGTTTGTCCGGGCTCCTTTGTTATCGACTCCTCCGATCTTCCATTGCTTCCTGAACAAAAGGCAAGCGGGCCGATGAATTATGAATGTCAGGAGAGGAGAACTGATATCCTTCTGCTCCCATGCTTGTTCCTAATTAAAAAGGACATGATTAAAAATGCATCCATTAGGATAGGTTGGGTCCTAATCACTTGTTACATTATTAATCAGGCTGTTTATTGTTCCGTGATTTAGATACTGGAGCACTGGGATATTAATAGGCTCCTACACCCCTGAAGAGGTGTTGATGATCTTTGGAATTAATCAGGTGACAGAGAGCTGAGTGTCATTTATATCAACACCCTCATTTTCAGGTATTTTTTTTTATGTATGACAGTTTGCAGCAAAGGTTTCATTGCTTTGCTCAAGAAGCGTTTTAGATCCTGAGTTCTCGGCTTCAGTTTCCTGCTCCCCCCGTGTTTTGTGACAAGTCATTGTTTCAGATTTAAATGATTAAGATGAGGCTTATGCTGAGTTATACTTGACTTGTTTTCACAGGCATTAAACAAGTCTTGTAGAATTGCACTGTACGATTTTAGAGATGCAGCAATCTGACTTTAACTTCCTCAATTCTCATTCTGATCCTGAGCATCAGTCAGATCAGATCTTTAATATTTAAAATCTAAAGGTCCATCTAGTATAAAGGTAGATGTCCAGATGTGTGTAGTTTCATTATAAAGCAGCTCTAGGTTCTATATTAATACTGTGAAAGTATCAAAGCCTCAGTCCACAGAGAAATGCACACAGCCTGTATTCAGAACCTGAGCCTTAAAACCAGCCGTCAGGACTTCTGGAACTTTGTGATGTCACAACAAAGCAGTCACCGATTTCAGCCATGCCCCAAGCCCCGCCCACCTGGACCCACCATCCAATTTAGCAGGTGTTTTTAGTGTTTACCTGAAATCTGTTATATTTGTATCGGATCACTCAGAAAACCATCAACAGTCAATAAATATGTAAAAGTTACACGTTGTACATACAAGTAAAAACAGCAACGTGAACAACCTCTGTGCCCATGTTCAGCCCAGAGAAGCTTGAATAGAACCATGTGAACTCTAAATCATATTTTCCAATAAGGTCACAAGGGTCCATTGAGTTTAGAAACGATGTGAATCATAAGCTGTGGCCTTCACCGTCACCACATCTCAACCTGACATTTAGACTCGGAGAATCCATGATAAGGAGCGTTGAAGCTGTTCCGTGGGCTCGTGGTGGCTCTAACACACTTAATGTTGGGTTTTACTCTCATTTCGCACCCACCTGTATCCACCTGTCTATCTAGTGTACAGTAATGTTCCTGAGGTGAGTTTAAGAGACTTAACCTGCAGGATGAAACCCCACAACACTGACTGACGTGCTCCTGAACAGATGCACAGAGGAGCCGGGAAATTAAATTAGTTTGACTTTGACCAACTTTCACTTTGAAGCTTTGACATTTGACTGAGCTCATTTAGAGTGTGTATAATGTCAGCGAGGATGTCACAATAAAGTCAGAGGCTTTTTTTTTCCATAAGTGTGTAATTACAGTAAAACGCTGAGCAGAATGCAGAGAGAGGCAGAGAGGTCTGACGTTCCCTGAATTATTAAGTGGAAACGTTGAACTCTGACTGGACGTGATGTTTACCAGCCTATTATTAAAATATTTCCATAACGACATGATTAAGTACTGCATGTGGCATTAGTATGTGGGGACATGCTGTTTCATGTCAGCAGACCCGCTGCGCTGCTTGGCCACGGGTCAACAGTGCCCCCCAGTGGAGGAGACAGTGTAGTGCAGGTGCAACATTCAGTACCAACCACCGCAGTTTGTGGTGGGGAGGCAATCATTTATTCTAAAGCCTTTAAGTTTGAGTCTTATTTATTTATCCAAGTTGAAATCAAATGAATTAATGAACAATACAAAGTGATGTGCAGAGAGACCATTTGAAGGTCCCATTTTGTAAAAAGGGACATGGACATGGACGTCTACCTTTATACAATATGGGAGCTTTAAATCATATTTCACAGATGACTTCCTCATCTAAACATTAACACTACAAAGACTAAAGAACTCGACGACTTTAACGTCATATAAATTGTACAGGAACAAAATAGAAGTGATGCTTGAACATATTTTTCATTTTCATCAAGCAAAACATGACACTAAGTTTTGGTTGTCTGATGTCCGTCCCCACAGGAGCTGTACTCACAGTCCTACGACGCTGTGGGCGTGATGTTCGCCTCCATCCCGGGCTTCGCCGACTTCTACTCCCAGACCGAGATGAACAACCAGGGAGTCGAGTGCCTGAGGCTCCTCAACGAAATTATTGCCGACTTTGACGAGGTGAGACTGCGGACTTTGAAGTCCACCCACTTCTACTTCAGGCCAACTTTTAAACATGCAGGGGACGTCAACATCCTCCATTTTTGATTAAAAGATCCACCTCATTCCCCAGAACACTTCAGAGCTGATTAATACAAAGGCAGAGAAGAGCTCACGTCTGCAGGTTGTCACAAGGTGTTTATGTCAGATGGAGAAGAACCACCACAGGGAATAAACATCACAGATACTAAATGTTTTGGACATTTTCTTTATAAAGTAGACGACAGCGATAAATCCAGACTTGAGCTTTCCTCCAGTATTGATTTCCCTTACGACTTACTGGATTATTTTTAAGCTTTGCCACAGTTTGAATGTCTTTCTTTCTGTATGAGAAATATTTCTCAGAGATTTTCTAGTGCCAGAAAAGGAGCTCAAAGCAAACTGAAACAGAAAATCCTCATGACTGAGGTTTAAAGGAGGTTTAGGAAATGCCATTCTGCTGTGGAGAACTCACTTTCCTAGCATCTACAAAAACAATGAACCACACACACTTTGGGCTCTAAAGCGCACGGAGTAAAGCGCGACGCACAAGTACATTTTTGTTCATCACGTCCATGTAACTTTTGCCATTGTAATAGGAGAAAAAACTGCAGCTTTTTATGCTTTTTTACTCTCTTTATCTCGCCACTGACTTAAGACCAGTTTCTTGTTGGTCAATCATTTTCCTCTGTCTCAAGATATCAATGTGCCAACAACGCTCCTGACCACACCTCATGTTAAGACCAACACGCCCATTGGCGCTCAGAGAGCACAACATTATAATATTTAAACAAAGCGAGCGCTGCTCAGTCTGAAACTAGCGAAGACACTCATGTTGCGCTCTGCGCCGAGTTAAGATTTATCTCCAATTTATCTGAGAAATCTAGATTAGACACTTCTGACTAATTTAAGTCAGGCTTGAAGTGTAAAGTCAGGATATCTTTAAATTCAGGATTCACTTTTCTGGAAAACATCCCGCCCTGTATTTATCAGATTTATTCAACCGAAACTGAATACAGAAACTTACAATGTAGAAAATAAAGATGAAAAACAGTGTGAGAAATTCTCCCTGCCTCAGGCTCAGTGTAAGTTAGCAATCCAGCTGAAGTTTTTGAGAAACTCTGGCACATCTCGGTTCCCTGGGAACAGACTGAAGTCTAGAGGAACTTGTGGTTCCTGATCGAGGCTCCAAACTGAGCCGAGTCTCTGACAGAAAATGTCAGTCTCTAAATATAAGGGCCGAGACAGACAGACAGACACCAGCTGAGCTCTGTGCAGCCTCAGGCCACACTCCTCACTCACCCTCAAACACCAACACTCCTCTTTTCTCTGGGAGCTCGACGGCAGAGTGGCTCATCATATCAGCAGCACACAATGAGATCAGAATCACACCTTTTAGGAGACAATTAGTCGAGCAGTTAATTGCATGTAAGCACATGAAGCAGAAGAGAGAGTTGTGTTTTGGAAGGTCTGGTTTGTTTTACAGTCGGCTGCTGCAGCTCAGAATAGTGGAGGCGTTGGAACAAGGTTCTTATTGTTTCAGTCACGTCTCTTTTCTCTAGATGCCGTTTCAGTAGACGACATTTCTTACAGCTACGTCGGCGCTCATGTTAAGTGCTGCTATACAATTAGTTTTCTATTTATGTTGCACTGGTGGTTGGAGGCAGGCAGTTGAAGGAAGAAAGTATCATCAACTGACATTTGTGCTTTCGAGTTAAGAAGGTGGAAATAAAAGTGTTCGGATGCTTATGAATCAATATGTTAAAGGTTCCATATTTTACACTTTTCCAGTGTTTTACACCAAATCCTGCAAGACAGGATGGTGGGTCCAGGTGGGTGGGGCTCGGGACGTGGTTGAGAGCAGTGACTGCTTTGTTGTGACATCACAAAGTTCCAGAAGTCCTGACAGCTGGTTTTAAGGCTCAGTTTCTGAATACAGGCTGTGTGCATTTCTCTGTGGACTGAGGCTTTGATACTTTCACAGTATTAATATAGAACCTAGACCTGATCTATAATCAAACAGCACATGGACATCTGCCTTTATACTATGTGGAGCTTTGATTGGTTTGAAAGAAATTGCTTAAAAAGTAAAATAACGTTGGGCAGTCATGTTCGTTTTTGGGAAATGAGATTAAAGGTTTTTATTGTAGTTTCTTTGGTTGGAAATGCTGTAGTTGTGTTTTTATTCAAATGTAAACTGCTTCCAAACTGGACTGTACTTTGCCAAAGCAATGTTTTTGTACTGTAATAACATTACAGTATGAGCTTTCTTAGACTAAATATGGGTTCAGTTATTGCTGTCATATTGGTCAGTAGTAAGAAATTGCAAAATGCCATGTATTTGTATTCGTATTTTCTTTTTTTAAGTGTATAAGATGATTCAGCAGAGCAGCAGAGCAGCAGATGCATGTAACTGAGAGTTGGACTCATTTCATTTTGGATGTCTTCAGAATCACTGAGCTTGATCCGTGTGGGCAACTGATGATGTTTAGGAAAAGTTTTTTTTGAGATTAGAAAAATAAACTCTTAGTAAATAAAGTGTCACCAATGTTAAAAATCTCTCTCTGTGTAACAATTGTCACAGTTGCTGGGTGAGGAACGGTTTCAGGACATCGAGAAGATCAAGACGATCGGGAGCACCTACATGGCCGTGTCCGGTCTGTCGCCTGAGAAACAGGTGAGGTCCTCTCTGGTGTCGTTAACACTGGTATCAGTCCAGCTGATTGATTTTAACCTGCATGCAGCAGCAGGTGAGTGGGAGCATCAAGAACTGGATATTTGCATTGTTTTCAATAGATCTGAGTTCTTGGTTCTTTAAATATCTCAATGGTGTAATTTATGCTTGTCTATTAAGGTGTTATGGCCAGTGAAGGATTTGATTGATTGATGGGTTATCATCCAACACCAGGCAGACGTGTTGCACATTAACAGTATATTTATTAAATACCAGAGGTTATCTTGTTTATCATTCACTTTGCAAAATAAGACAACGGGGAAAGATTTGCACAGGAAAGAGTTAGCAGAAGATTACAAACCTTTCTTTACCAGATGTCATTGGAATCAGCATTGGAAACACGTAGGAGGAAACACCAGCAGCTCAAACTGACCAGTTCCTTTTTCTAAGTTTTCTACTTCAATCACATGCTGATGTCTGGCCGGTCCTGACATTCAGCTGACTCAGACTCTCTCCTCTGCCGTCCACAGCAATGTGAAGATAAATGGGGTCACCTGTGCGCGCTGGCCGACTTCGCCATCGCCCTCAACGAGAGCATCCAGGAGATCAACAAGCACTCCTTCAACAACTTTGAGCTGAGGATCGGTAAGAGCTCTTTGTCTTTCAGAGAAGAGATTCGTTCTTCTTTAATCCGTTTTCTTTTAATCATGTACATGTTTTATTCCTCCTTTTTTTTCCTTTTTGTCCTACTCTTTTGTCTTCTTCCACCTCCTCCTCATCTCCTTTCCTTCATTTTTATCCCCATCTTATTCTTTAATCTTTTCTTAATCCTATGATGAAGGGCGCCAGATGTTTCTCTAAAGGCCGGAACTAATGATTATTGTCATTACTGATCAATCCATAGTTTTCTTTGGGAACTTTTTTGACCTTAGAAAGACTTAAGGATGAATACGTAAGCAAAGCTCAAAGTGACGTCTTGAGATTTATTGTTTCGTCTTAAGCCAAAGATTTTCACTTTAGATCACTGGTTCCCAACCTATGGCCAGGGGCCCACTGGTGGGCCGCAAAGGTATTGCAAGTGGGCCGACAAATCATTTGCAAAACAGAACAATTTTGGTGAAAAGATGTAATTATATATTAAAAAAAACTATGACTGATGTTTTTCTCTTATTAAAGCCCATCACTGTGAAAAGCCAAGAATAGGACCTCTTATGTTGCTGCAGCCGGACCACATGGTACACTTAGCACACTGAAAGATCACATCCCTGGCAACATAGACACCTGGTTAGAAACAGGAAGAATACAAAGGAAAGAGTCAAGAGATCAAGTGATCTCTTCGTCAAACAAAAAACAAAAACCGAGTTTCACCTGCTTCAAGTTCAATCCTGAACGGTCGTCTTTATCGTTATTGTTGCGGGGTTGAATGTGGAACGCCAACAGTTTTGAGATTTTCAAGTTGGCCATGAGTTGGAAAAGGTTGGGAACCATTGAGTTAGATACAACAGAGAAAATCAGCATATCCTCACGTTTGAGAAACAGAATGTTTTGCATTGTTCTTTAAAAATTTCTATAAAATTATTGATGGTTAAGTAGTGGTTCAAACTATTTAACCCCTACTTAACCATACACATTGATTTGCAGCATGTTTTCATGTTTCCCCAGTCACATGGAAGATGCAGGCACAGTGTTGATGTCAGATAGTTTCTGCACTGTAGCTAAAGATGCATTCAGTCCTTCAGAGTACATAAAAGCATCCCACCGTTTTTTTCTGCTGTACCCAAGTCAAAAGGTACCAGCCTGTGTCACTATGGCAACCAGTGCCAATGATTTTCCTCATCTAAACATGAAGAACAAGTTTATCTTCAGGAACAAGTGATGAATTCAGTTGCAAGAAATAAGAAATAAAAAGGACGGTGTGATCAAAGTGACTCTGTCACCTTCAGGGTCTGACAGTCGACAGGCCTTTTCACAGCAGGAAAATCACAGGGCCCTGAACCTGAACCTACAGCAACGAAATGGAATTCAGCCTTCATCCGTTTTTATTCTTTACACCTGTTTCTTCTTGACTTTGACATGTCAGAATATCTGCAGTGAAAAAGGTCAATCAAAGAAATCTGTTGAAATGGAAATGTATTGCGGGACCAGATTGGTTTTTTTTTTTTTTTAATGAGTTTCTGGTTATAACAAAAGACCAGTTCCTCATGTTATAACCAGAAAAGTATCTTCTTTAATGCAATAGGTTGGCATTGTGTAACAACGAGTCACTTGTTTGCCTTTGGAAGGTATGGCTCACGGCTCGGTGGTGGCGGGTGTGATCGGTGCCAAGAAGCCGCAGTACGACATATGGGGGAAGACGGTGAACCTGGCGAGCCGGATGGACAGCACGGGCGTGAGCGGCAAGATCCAGGTGCCCGAGGACACCTACCTGATCCTGAAGGAGCGCGGCTTTGCCTTCGAGTATCGCGGCGAGATCTACGTGAAGGGCATCAGCGAGCAGGAGGGCAAGATCCGAACGCACTTCTTGCTCGACCGGGTGCAGCCCAACCCGCTCATCCTGCAGCCGCGCAAAATCACCGGCCAGTACTCGCTGGCGGCCGTGGTGCTCGGCCTGGTGCAGTCTCTCAACCGGCAGAAGCAAAAGCAGATCCTCAACGAGAACAACAACTCGGGCATCATGAAGGGCCACCACCACTACAACCGGAGGACGTTGTTAGCGCCCGGTGGCTCCGAGGTGGGAGGGGGGCATCACGTCGAAGCCGCTGATAAGACTGAGCTGTCCTGAAGAGCAGACTGGAGTTTAAGTTCCACGCAGATTTGTCAGAGGCAGAGACACTCTTCAGGCAAAAATAATCCCAGTGGTTGAGTTAGACCTCAGAGGGTGCAGCTAAAGAACAGTGGTCATGTGAGGATACAGTAACAGTAGAAAGTTCTTCAGGAGTCATAACAACCCAAAATGTAACCTGGTTCCAGATCTCTGACTCGCTGCAGATTCACCAACTGTTGTGCTGTATTCTCAGTTGGAAAAGCAACTGACCAATCAGAGCTTTGCAGCTAAGATCAGTAATTGGGACATCAACTTTCTGTACCAGAACCTGAATGAGTCTGGATGAGGTTAAAGGAGTTTGTGTCGACTCACAGTGGCACCAATGTGATGAATACGTTCAACACTACTTGTTGGCGCACGATGGAATCCATTACTAGTTTCAACAAACCTCTTTAAACTCTAATTATGGCTTGTGTATATCTGGAGTATCTTGCTCATACATGGGTTGTGAGTATCGCTTAGAACGTCAGGAAATGATCTCATGTTGCAAATTGGAAATTTGGTGACTCAACCCCTGAGTGTTAAACAAGCAGATTAGTTGTTTTAATTCCTGTCATGAGGTGAGCACAAGAACCCAGCCTGAAAACTATACCTGCAAACCAGAGAAGTATGTTCCAGCTTTAAAGGTACCCTGTGGAGTTTTTGTCCACTAGCAGCATAATGGAGGAATGTTTTCACATGTGGGTTCCCGTTTTGTTTGGTCTGGTGATACACATTTCTGCCAAGGGTTTCACACTGTTCCACTGACCTTCAGATGGCGGTAACACACCAGAAAACTCAGCGATGCACCAGCAAAGGCAGGGAAAAGGAAGACTGCCCGTTATAATATCCATGGATGTAAAGAATGCAGGTGTCAGACTTAAGAAAAATTGGTTTTATGAGAAAGGAAATGCACACAGAAAGTTCATTAGACCTCAAGGATACACACAATGAATGTAAACAGAAACTGTGTTTACAAGAAAACTCCACAGGGCCCCTTTAAGTGAAGGTGGGATATCTGGGGGGAAAAAAAAACATGCTACATACTTATTTTAGACGGGTTGGACACTACTGCCTGAACATTATGAGGTTAATCAGTGGGTTAGCTTCGCTGAGCTAACAAGTTCAAATGCGAGCTTTCTAGGTAAGCTAGTAAATTAGCCTGCTGACCTTTCAACATCATGAATATCAGGTAAGAATGAATGACTTACTCAAGTGATGCTTTGCAAAAACTGCTTGGAAAAAAAGTTCCTTTGGCTCCTCCCACTGAGGTTTAACTCAGCCAATGAGATTACTTCTGCCTCGTGAATCAGCTCCGCTTCCGATGAATGTTTTTAGAGCTGAAACTCCACTTTGTTCCTGAAGCAGGAGGAGGTGGTGGTGGTGATGGTGGGGGAGGGAGGGAGGGAGGGACTGGACGGGACCGCCGTGTTCTGTTTTGATCCACCCTCATCTGTTCGATGTCTGTGCGACTGATCCCCTCGGACTGTCCGACGTTCCTCCTGTCGTTTCCACTTCCCCTTTTTATGTCGCCTGGCCACCGACTCATCCCCGCCCCCAAAACCCAGAAACCCTGTCCCACTCTGACCCTCGCCCGGTGTCGATGTTTCTTTTTTGTATTTCTTTTATATATGACAACACAATAAAAAGGGGTCTAATTTTTTATATAAGCTGGTTGTCTTTATTTTGTCTCATTTTGATAGTGGAAAGGATTCAAATGATTTGCAGGACTTGTGATAAAAGGAGCCAGAAGCCTGTGGGAATCAACAATGACCACAAATCTTGAAATGAAACTCCAAGTATTAGGATGCTGTAAATGATAATGTAAGACAAATACATCAGTAATTAGAGGGGCATAGACCTCCACCAAGACCAATGTCTAACAACATACACCAGACTCCAGAGAAAAAAATGCAAATTCATAGTAAATGATCCGGATCTGCCCCGAAGTTAAATGGGTTTGTCACTGGCTCACCCCCCATCCCTCCACCAAGTTCGGTGTAAAACGGTTCAGTACTTTCTGCGTAATCCTGCTGACCAACAGACATGGGTGAAAACACAACCTCCTTGGTGTAGGTAATTACTGATGGAGCTGTTGGGTCATTGCAGCAGCAAAGATGGATATTGGTGAACATAAAGGCACTTACAGGTGTATTTACAGCAGCCAACTGGGCGACATCACCCAACAGTGTCGCTCTGCAACACACCTGTACATAACTGCAGCGAGGTGACGAGTTCAACTACTGGAAGTCAGCAAAAACGCGTTTTTCTACGGGTGCTAAGTTACGACTCTTTGGGTGACACGTTCCTTCATCTCCATGAACACACACTGTAGTTTATTTTGACTCAGTCCCACACACACTGGTCCTGCTGCCCCAAATCCTCACTAGAGCACCAAATGTGGATTAATCCGCTGCTGAAAATAGTCCCCAACAAATACACCATTTCCTCCTGTTTGAGTAACGTTTGACTGAAACTGCAGAAACCAGCTGGTTTAGAAAATGTCTGAGCCTTTAAAAAAAATAAAAAATAAAAAAGTGATAATATATTTGTGTGTAATTCTTAAAGATTCACGTCTTCAGTCAGAATCAATGGGCTTAAAGCTGTGAGTCACAGACAGGGTAGAGCAGTCAGAAAGTGTTGAGAGACAGGTTTTGACATTATTGTGTAAGAAGGTGCGTTGTTACAGGTTTACATTTGAAATTTACAGCAGCTAAAAGAAAAGCTCCTGATGAAAAAAATGCATCTTAGACTGATGTTTCTTTTTGTTGGGGTTCTGGAGAGTTCTCACTATTCTGGGGCTTTTTGAGATGGATGTTAAATAAGAAATTGAAATGAGATTGAAATTTACCGAAATTGATTTACTGGGAGATGCACATTTATCATGGCAGTGGGTGGTAAGTAAGGCCAAATTTTTATTAAATTTTTATACAAACTATTTCAAACAGAGAAGGCTGAGGCGTTCACTGCTGGTGATTTTCACGTTGGTGCAGAAAAGATTGAATGAAAACCTTTAAGAGCTGGATAACAGACTGCAGGTAAAGTCAGCAGAGGAAGAACTCTGTTGTCGTCTTCTTCTTCTTCTTCTTGAAAAGGTTTTGATGAATCACATCGTCAGACGAGCGTGAAGAAATGAAAGCGGGCACCTGCTGGATGATCCCAAACCATCTGGACTCTGACTGACTGAGCAGATGATTGATTATCTGTATCAGACCTGATCATCTGTTCTGTTCAGCTGCAGACATGATGCGTAACTGTTCTCACTGAGGAGTTTGAATTCACATACAATTCCACCAGTAATTTAGTTTCATTTAGTTTGTAAAGCGTAAATAAGTTGGTCGACTCTTCTATTTTCCATGAGCTTAAATGTATTAACATGTCAAACCGCTGATCAGACATTTGATGCCTCAAAGTTTTTACCTTTGTTATTGAATTGAATGAAGGAGAACCATGTGAAAAGCCAGTGGATATTTGGTGTGTGAGAGACATCTAACAAGCTGCCTGACAGCTGTTTTTATCACGTTACAGAGATTACAGAGTTACAGAGTTAATACACTGAGAAAGATTTATGCAAATTAGGAAAAAATGTCTCCTCAGATTCCAAAAAGGCGTCTCAATTGTTTCAAGTGACAGGGCATCAAAAATATAAATGAAAAGTGAACGTTTCAGTCACAAAAGCACTGTCAGAAACATTCAGTCGGGTAGTAACAGGTGGTGAGAGAGAGAAGGTGTTTTCAATCAACTCGTTAACTCAGGTGTGGTCACAGGAAGACAAGGACATCCGAGTGAATGTCGCAACAAAAGGTGTAACGTCTTCAATTTTGATGTACAACTATTAGATCTCAAGTTTGTTTCATATGAGAATCTGTGAACTCTAAACTAATGAGGAATTTCAATCTGATCTACGTTGAGAAAGGACCAGAGTCTGCAGATTTTACTGCTCATCACGTTCATCAATCTCGAGTGAAACAAATGACTTCTCAAGCGTCCCCAAAAACAAACAGTTGAAACAGTTATCACAGCAGTGAATTATCTCCAGTGAAGAGATGGGGGACAGGAGATGCTTTTATTTAAATTTCCAACATTCTGAGTGTTTGTTTACTTATATTTATTTAGGTTGTGGAACCTGAAGGAGGAACCTGATAAAAAAAAAATTCTCTATCATCAATCTGTCGAGGATATCTGAATTTAAGGAGGACATATTCAGTTTATGCAGACTATAGAGTGTTGAGTTTGAGATACTTTAAAAATGACCAACAAATTGAAAATGTCAGCATCCAGACAACAGTACTGCAGAGAAAGCAGAGAGATGATCAGCTGATGTTTGTCTAAACTCAAAAAGTGCTCAAAAAAAATCCATGACAGACAAGCAGGTCTGGCATCAGTAATGTTGTAGGTTTTGAATAATAGAGACGTGACAACACGAGAAAAAACTAGAAAATGTTCTAATGTTTCCAGTGATGGATTATCTCTGATGTTCATTCCTGCAGCTTCTGAAGGAGGAAACTGAAGCCTGAAATCTTCTACAGTGATTAAAAACAGAAGCCAAGCTGGCAATGAGTAAAGAAAAACAAAAAACATGACATCACTATCAATCTGTCGAGGGTTTGTGTTTGTGCAGACATGCTGTAAGAGCTCAACCCTCACGCAGTGTGTAGAAACCTCCACCAGATGGCAGCAGACAGCCAGTCAGACACTGAGGAGGGCTTCAGCCTGAGAGGCACAGAGGGAGATTTGGTTGAGGTTTCTGAAGCTGTAGGAACATTTCATCTCACCTGTTGTTATGACCTCTGACCTCTTCATGACTGGTCACATGTGAGGGACTTAACGACTGTGGTTGAGAAGATCAACAATTCAATAATGCTGAATCAATCATTTGCTCAGACTTCCTGAAAAAATGGAAACCAGGAAACTGGTCAGGACACGACAGTAAATTTACCTAATTACAATAAAAACATTTATACATCAAAAATGTGGAA